TCCTCAGCTGTAAAGTAAGTATACCATCACCTGCCTCATGGGGTTATTGCAGGGGTTGAATAAGACAGCATTCAACACCTGGTATGTGATGCTAAGTAAACCTTAGTTTACTCCTCTCCTTATCAGAATACCCCCAAATGGGCCAAATTGTTGGGCAAATTGCAGCATATAAATACAGCAAAACTGAAGACCATCAAAATGAAAATAATTTCAAATGAAGCTACTTTCCATTCATTCTTTCAAAAACTCTTTACTGGCGGTCCAGGAGTTAGGAGTTAGTGCTTTCATTGCAGTGACCCAAGTTCACTCCCTGGTCAGGAAACTGAGATCCTGCAACCTAAGTGGTGGAGAGGGGCGAAGAGGAGACTGTTGAGCACCACATCTGGAAGGCATTGTTGCAGGCACTCAGGATACAGGTGTGAACATGACAATCTCTATCCTCAAAGAACATCAGAGTTCCACTCAAAACATTCAGTGAGTAAAGGATTAGAACTCTTAGCACGCTGAGAATCCATGTCATCTGGCCCCTACCTTGAACTGATTTATTCTGTTAACAATTTCTCATGTATCTTCCACATGCATACTTAGAGCCATGAAGGCAGGGACTGTGTTTTAGTTACCCTCTATTCTCAGAGTTCAATCCTCACAATTTTCACCCACTAGATTGGTTACTTATTATGTTATTCATTCACTCATTTAACAAGTATTTATTAAGCATCTTCTATATGTCAGATGACATACTAGGCCCTGGGAATACAGCAGTTGTGAGGAAAATGAAATATAGCGCCTGGTCCCAGGGAGTTTATAGACTACTCTAATAGAAGAGTCTAGGAAACAAAGACTTTAACCAAAGGTATATATTCTACCTACAGATTAAACAACCTAAAAATGAAAATTTTTTAAATCTTTAAAAAAAAAAATCTTATGCCAAAATACTTACAGCTCAAAAGCATCTGAAGTTTAGAATCTTACAGCATATACTCAAAGTATCTATAAGCTAAAACAAATCATGACCTATTAATTTTAACATAGCTTTTCTATTGTTTGACATAAGCCACATACAACACTTGCCTCTCTAAAAAATTGTCTAATGCATACTTAAATAAAGTTAGCACATTTTACATACGGTTTTCCCCCTACCTTTGTACTTCCATAGAACTTTTTACCGAAAATTCTGTATGTTTTTTACTCAATGACTCATTTTTCACAGAATTCTCCCCCAGAGCAGACACATAACAGAAACATAAAACATTCCTAGTACAAGATCAAAAACCCAAATATCAAGAAACCACTCAGGAACATACACAAATGAAACCTCATTATGTGTCCAAAAATAAAAGGCCAAATACATAACTCAAAATAATGCGGCACTTTCCTAATGTGGACTCTTAAAGAGACAGGATCACTCCCCATTCAGGTGCAGACAATGGTTGGGCTCCTTACTTCTTATAACAAATGTTAATCCTACCACCTGTCCACTGAGCTTTCAGAGGTTACAGATTTACCTATAATCAGTATTTAGAAGACATGCAATCAAGGATGTATCCAAGGATGGTTAAAAAGATTATCTGCCAAGGAAAATGACTTGAAGAACTAGTATGCATTCACTTCTACAAGTGTAAATTTTATCCATGACCTAAAAAACTGCAAGTCTATATATCTGGACTACAGAAATGGCCAACAAATGAATCTTTTTTAAGTTTCATTTTCAGTTCAATCCTGGATATAAGCCTATGAACTTTATAGCTGCTTTTAGTTCAAAACTGTGACAGGGGAAATTGTTTTACAACATTACACAATGCCACCTATGGTGCTCCATATGAATTTGACATAAGGAAAAATTTGCTCTACTCTGAGGAATTTGTATATTTCTCTACTTATCTGAGAGTTATATATATGGTTATATTTCCCTCTCAGACTTCTTTTCCAGGTTTAACCCTCAACTTCCACCATGCAGCTTCTACTACTCTTGCAAATAAATGAATGTCAGAAAAGAAAAAGTACAGAATGGTAAAAGAGCCTATTAAAGAAGGCCTGAGAGGTTTTTTCCTAAAAAATAAAAATCAAGCAGATTTACCTATAGTTACTCAAGATAGTATTTTGATTCTCTCAACTAAGATACAAAAAGCTAGTGACAAGCCAAAAGTATCAACAAACAGGCCTAAAAGAGATTTAAAAAACAAAGGAGTTGAAATATTTTTTAAAAGCTGCTTTCCAACTCTGACTACAGCATGAGTTTGCTGCAAGTGACCCTTAGCAAATAAATGCTAATTAACTGACCTCAAAGAGGTCAAGTTTTATACACGCTAAACAAAGCCAAGTATACAGGAGAAATTATTACACAAGAAACTGCAGAGTACAAGTCAACTTGACATTAAAATAGTGTAGGCACAAAAAAATTATTCCAATAACCTACAGTATGTATCATCTTTATTTCACCACCCTACACACACTTGGGGAAAAGGCAAAGCTATGACAGCTCATGGTTCTAAGGCTTTTTAGAGCAAATAAAATATCTCTAGACACAGTGGATCAAATAGTCTAAAATGAGAGAGGACAGATGGGGTGGGGGCAGGGGTGAAATCAGCATCACCTGTAAAGTGAAGAACATCACACAAAAATAGAAAAGGGGGAATCACTTCATTTCATATTAAGAGGAATACATCTCTTACTACAAAAATGTCTCCTAAATCAACAGCACAAGCAACCCCATTTTCCACCAAATAAGTCTTTATAGATACTAGCAAATATCTAAGACACACAGACATAGAGGGTGCCTTTTAAGTACACCAGAAAGGGTGAGTCAGGAATGCTAAATTCTTGCAACAGAAAAAAACTTGAAAGGAAGAGCTTACCAAACCCAAATCAACCCATTTCAGAAAAATACAGCAAAGAAATACACTGCATGCTTCATAAATATACAGTCTATAAACTTAAATTGAGAATTATTATTTACCCTCTTCTAAAGGACCAATCACAATACAGGATTAGTAAATATCCTAAATTTCTCAGCGAAAGCAATTAGATCATTCCATCATCTACTCGGATCAGAATACAAATCTTCTTAAAGCAGAAAAAAAAATATTTCATAGTAAATATTCATTGGCCTGTTGTTCATGGTCTTTTTAAGCCATTTTGAAAGGTTCTTTGAAACTGTTTCATTAGTATCTCTCTGGAAAGAGCTCTAACATCTTTCATTCTTCTAGCAATTTAAAAGCTACCACATGTTCATTTCCACGTTAGATTATTGATTCCTTGCCTTTTAACATCTCCATAACAGCTGCTTGACAAATTACCTCACCTCATTCCTCAGGGGGGTAAGGACAGCATAATATCCATGAATTCAAAAATGGAACCACAAAATGATCAGTGACAGATGAGCTAATTGCTTCAGATTGAGACACTGCTCTAGTAGAGAAGGCATTCATAGCATGATACAATTAAATGCTTACACTCTAAATATTTTATTTGTACTTAAGGGTACAGGGAAAACCTATCTTCCTTTTATTTCTGAAGATGTTAGCTTCAGAAAGTCAGTAAGCTTATATGTGTTTGGAATAATTTCGACAGAAAGTCGAGTTTTCAGAATAATTATTCTGAATAGTATGCACAACTTTCAGACTTAACTTTCTTATTTCAACCTAAGAGAGCTGTAAGACCCAAAATAGTCTACTGACAGGGCAATTTTAAAAATATTTTCCAGATTTTTAGCAAAGTAAAGGCCAAACGTATTTTCAAAGACACAACATATTTCAGAAAAGTAAAGTAAAATGTGTCTATTGTATTTGCCTTAGTTCATTCTGATTAGTGTCCGAACTGTATGAGATACAGAGAAAAAGAATACACAAACATAATCTTATAAACCCCCATAGAAAATATTGCTTTCCTCCCCTAAGAATAACAAAATGGTGTGGATTTAAAGGAGTTATTTTAAATGAACAATGTCCAGTCAAATTGCTCTTAGAAAATTAGCCTCTCTCTAGACAGAAGCAACACACTCTTTTTCTTAATTCGTAACAAATCTCATAACACAACCTTATCGATTCCTTTAAAGTGATAAAACATATGTGCTAGCTTAGAGCTTTACCTTATAATAAATTTCGGTATCTACCACTTTAAAAAAAAAATACTAAATCATCACCGGTGTTCTTCAAATGTCACTTTCGCAGTAATGGGACAACGGTGGTGTTAACTCACCTTTTATAAACTATACGTATTACCCGGACGGAGACATCCAAGAAACCAAACAATTTGGAGATGATAGTGCCTACTACCAGTAATATTCGACATGTTTCTTTAGACGTGCCCCTTTTGCGATCTTAAGGCTCTACTAGAAAACTCTACCGAGTCCCTTCTAGAACCCTGGTTAGCGGGCTGGCTGATTCCAGACATCACGTTTGATCGCTCCTGCCTGGAGAGGCGATAGTGTTGATTTTGTTTTTAAAGTTGCTGTCAGAGCAGCTACAAACTTTTTTCAGCATCCCTGCCTGGCTGCCAACTGGAGCTCTCCGCTCACTTCCTCACCAACTTGAACCACCCCCAAACAGTTTGAGAGTAAGCTGGAGTCAGACACCGGCAGGAGCTGACACACTTCACAAGAAGGGTTTGACACCGCAGAAAACTTTCACTTCTCCTCTCCAGCCCTTCCGAACGGGGACTCTGGCCCCTCGCTCATGCTCCCCTAGAATTCCTCTCTCTGGCCGGACAAGGACACAAGAAAGCAGGCTGTTCTGATGTCCCCGAAAAGACAAACCCCCCCCCCTCCCCCGCAATAACCCTCACCCCTGGACTCAAGTCCCGTTCTTCACACAAAAGAGCGCGGCCAGCAGCGCTGTCGCGGCCCTACCTAGCCGGCTGCCACCCTCCACCGCACCCGCAGACCAGGTTTCCAGCCGCCCGAGCGGTCCGCACCGGAGGCTTCCTGCCCCGACCCGGCCAGACAAAGCCCCGGCGGCCGGGCCAACCTGCCAGCCTCCGGACTCGGGCCGCCGCGCTCTTACCCGGGCCTCATCCAGGGCGACGCCGGCGCCGCCGCTTCCCCCGGCCTTGGCGGCGGGGCAGCTGGCAGCACGGGTCTTGGAGGAGCGGGTCCGAGAGGAGATGAAATGGCTACTGCCTCCGGTTGCCCCGGGCTCTACTCCGGCCCCAGGCCCAGGCCCAGGCCCAGGCGACTTAGATCCGAGAAGGCGCAGAGAGCTCTTCCGGGTGTTCACCATGGTCCAGCCAGGAGGACGGGGTCCACGCCGCGCCCGCGGCGCCCGCCGCGCCGGGGAGACCGAAGGAAGGCCGGCCCGCTGGCCGGGCAGTCAGGGCCAGTGGAGCCGGGCCGGGAAAGACAAGCCGAACCAGACTCCGAGGAGCGCAGACAGAGACAGGCGAGAGCAGGGCAGAGGAAGAGAAGTCGGCGTGCGAAGACAGGTAGCGGGAGACGGGAGCGATGCCCCGGGCCGAAGGCTCAGACTCTCTGCCGGCTTCGCCCTCCTCAGCGGGAGCCGAGCGGAGCCGCCATTTCTGCCCCTTTCTCTCCCGTTCTCACTCTCGAGCTCCGTGCGTCAGGGCTCCAGCGCCGCAGGGCCGACGAGACCGCTTCCGGCCTGGCCGCTGCGGGGCGCTGCAAGGCCGGCCAGCCCTTCTCTAGCCGGCTTTTCCCTCCTCTTCCCCCGCCCCTCCAGTAGGCCCCTCCCAGCGGCGGGCTGTCAGCGCTCGGCGGCCACGGAAGGGACGCTCTGGGCTGTTAGCTCTATGGTTTCCAGGTCTGGCCTGCCGCCGAGGAAGTGAGGATGAGAAAAACCAGAATGTGCTCGGGGCGAGTTAGCGCGCTGGAGTCGGTCGTGGAACCTTCATACCCGGCCAGGCCTGGCTACCCCAGCATGCCCACCATCACCCCCAGGTGCCCTGGATGGAGCCAGAAAGGACTGGCAAAGGCCGAGGATAGAGGGGGACCGGTGAAGACGAGGGCGTGGTGACCTGAGTGGGAATCCCAGGGACCCCAAGGCAAGACATTGAACTTGAGTCGTACTTTTCAGGACTACAAAAATGTGAATGATAATTGTGATAAAAACAGATCTGTGTCGTATCTGGCACATGGTTAAGCTTAAGAAAGAACTAACGCTAGAACCCTGCGTCTTTAAACAAAGCAAGGCACTGTCGTTTTCTGTAACGTTAGCCAGACCTAAGGCGGAGTCCACGAAGAATGAATTCTTCTAAGAACTTCCACTGTTTTCTGCCCGGGCAAGAATTAAAAATACAAAAAGCTGAACACAAAGATACAAAATGTGCCATTTAACTTTCACAGAAAAAGATTAAGGGACACAATATGAAAAGCTATTCTTTGTAAATAAGAATTATATTCATTTCCAAAAATTGCCTCACCTATAAAAATTGAAGACTCGAGAAAAGTCTTGTAAAAATCAACAAGCTGGAACAAAATTAGAGAATTCCAGCCATCCAAGCTACTAATTGTTCAACAAAACTGTATAATGCACTGGGAATGGAAATGGTTTTTCTGTTGGAGAAGCAGTACAGATTCCAGGAAAGCAGAGAAGTCCCTCTTACACTAATTTGCATACCACACCCTCCCCAGAACACTTCACCCACTATTTAAAACCCGATTCTTGGGTATGGAGACCTCCTAATACAAGATTTCAGTTTTCCTGTGTCAACTAGCTATGAGATCATTGAACAAAATAAAGTTTCATTTCCTCCAGAAAGAATCTGGCTTTATTATTCAAAGTATCCTGAAAAGGTGTATGGTATGCAAATTAGCAGACAAAGGACTTGCTTCTGTATTTGTTTCTGTAGTCCTAAACTGAGAAAGTCAGATTGTTATTTGAGTTACCACAACCTAGATCAAACCAGTCAATCCTAAAGGAAATCAACCCTGAATATTCATTGGAAAGACTGGGTGCTGAAGTTGAAGCACCAATACTCTGGCCACCTTGATTTGAAGAGTCGACTCATTGGAAAAGACCCAGATGCTGGGAAAGACTGAGGGCAGGAGGAAAGGAAGCAACAGAGGATGAGATGGTTGGATGGGATAACTAATCCAATGGACATGAGTTAGAACAAATGCTGGAAGTTAGTGAAGGACAAGGAAGACAGACAAGCTGCAGTCCATGGGGTCACAGAGTCGGACACAGCTTAGCTAGAGAACATCAAAAAAATGACAACAATGTTGCCTTTTTCCTTCCAGCTTCAATATTGGCTACACAAAAATTACCAATTTTGTAAGTTTGTTTTTTTAATACATGCTATTGTGACAACTGTCATGATACAATCTAACAAAATTGTTTCAAATGAAGTTAAAGGCAACTAAGTGCTACTAGGGAAAAAAAAAAACTATTTGTTTTTCGCTAGAAGTAACAAATGTGTACAGCTACAGCCTAACAGTGGATACAGTCTCAAGTGAGGATACTTGCCTAGCTTTGTAATATTAACATAACTTCATAAGCTTATTAACTATATTCAGTGATCCATTCCTTTCACAAACAAAATTTACTAACACCTATTAATGTGTTGGGCTTCTCTTGTGCCTCAGCTGGTAAAGAATCTGCCTGCAATGAGGGAGACCTGTGTTTGATCCCTGGGTTGGGAAGATCCCCTGGAGAAGGAGAAGGCTACCCACTCCAGTATTCTGGCCTGGAGAATTTCATGGACTGTATAGTCCATTGGGTCACAAAGTCAGATATGACTGAGTGACTTTCACTTTCATTACTATGTTAAATACTAAATATATTTGACCATTAAACAGTCCTTCCTTCAAGAAACTTAATGCTTAACTCCTTAAATCAGACAGTAAAAGGCATAGAAGACGCTTATTGGAAGAAAAGCTATGACAAACTTAAACAGCATGTTAAAAAGCAGAGACGTCACTTTGCCAACAAAGGTCCATATAGTCAAAGCTATGGTTTTTTCAGTAGTTCTGTAAAACAGTACCTTTACTGGGCTTCCCAGGTGGTACCAGTGGTAAAGAACCTGCCTGCCAATGCAGGAGACATAAGAGACATGGATTCAATCTCTGGGTCAGGAAGATCCCCTGGAGGAAGACATGGCAATCCACTCCCATATTCTTTCCTGGAGAATCCCATGGACAGAGGAGCCTGGTAAGCTACAGCCCATAGAGTCACACAGAGTCAGACACAACTGAAGCGACTTAGCACATACCATTTACTGTTTATTCAAACCCTAACTGGTGTCAGATACTCTGTCAAGACCAGGAAACACGGAGGGTCGTTTCTTGTTGTTTTTTATTAACAATATACTTCTGGCCCTCAAAGAGCTCACAGACAAGAAGGGAACAGAGACAGGCAAGGAACCAGTAAGCTGCCAAACAATGTGATTAGAAAAAATAAGGCAGAAACTTCTAATTCAAGCAGAGTTTAGAGAAAGCTGAGAAGTGATGACTTCTGAGATGCATCCTGAACCACAAAATGAAGAAAGAAAAAATGGGCCCCAAAAAATGAAAGTTTGAAGAAGATATGAAAGAGTTGCTTGTTTTACACAGTATAGAGAAAATAACTGAAAAATCAAGTAAAATCATTTTTTAAGCCTTACTTTAAACTATATGAGCTGGCAAGATGCTAAAGAATACACAGACCAAAAACTAAGTCACAAGAGGAACCCAGACAAGCAAACAAAGCTGTAAAGACAGCTTTCACTTTCAGTACATTTGCTCAACTCCAGTGAGCTTGATCTATTTTTCTCTGCCTATGGAAGATAGAAGAGACAGAAGACAAAGTCCAGAACCTGCTTAAGTTACAGAATCTAATGTACCTTGCAAAATCCCGGTACAAAAAGGATATATCTGAGAAGGGTGAATTAGAAATGAACCAACCAGAACTTCCCTGGTGGTCTAGTAATTAAGAATCCAACTTCCAGAGCAGGGGACACAGGTTTGATCCCTACTCAGGGAAATAAGATCCCACATGCTGAGGGGCAACTAAGCCCTGGGTCTCAAGTACTGAGCCCAAGCACTCTGTAGTCCTCACAATAAAACTAGAGAAGTCCATACCACAATGAAGCTCCAGCATAGTGAAAAAAGAAAAAGAGAAAAGAAATCAACCAGCCTTCCTATCACTATTCTCCAGGAAGCTGTAAGAACTGTCTTGCCCAACATCTACACTAAAAATGAGAGGGGGAAAAAACATATCCCTTAAGAATTCAAAACAACAAACCAGCCCTCAATTATAGCCTAAAGTTACCAAATCTGATAGTATGAAACCTCAGGTTAAATCAAAAGATCCTAAGCACAAAGCAAGGGTTAAACGTAAATTATCTCCAAAAAAATGCACCTTCAACAGGATATGCAAATATATATAGTCTCATGAACATGACTCAGTAAAAAAAAGTCATCAAAAACAGCCAACATACACACACACACACACACACACACAAAAGCCCAGACAGCATAAAAGAATAAGACCCACAATTTTATATTGATTAGAAATATGTAACATGGACTTCATCAAATATAAGATTTTCACTCAGTGAATGGCCTGGTAAAGATTATGAAAAGCAAACAATGGACTGGAAAAAAAAAAAACATTTACAAATCACATATCTCACAAAGGACTCATCTAAAATATAAAAAGAACTCTCAAAATTCAACATTTAGAAAACAATCCAATTAGAAAATGAGGAAAAGATCAGAAGAGCTATTTCACCTAAGAGGATATATAGATGGAAAATAAGAATATAGAAAGATTTCAACATCACTAACCAGTAATGACATGCATATTGACACTATGATGAGTTATTACATACCTATTAAAAAACTAAAATAAAAATTAGAGTTTTTTTTAATTTACCAATGCTGGTGAAGAGGCAAAGAAACTGGATCATTCAATCATTGCTGGTGAGAATGCAAATAGTACAACAAATCCAAAAAAGTTTGCCTGTTTCTTAAAAATCTAAATACAAACTTACAATACAGACCAGCAATTGGAACCCTGCATATTTATTCCAAAGAAATGAAGAGTTAACATCTACATAAAAATCTGTAGACCATAGTTCATGGCAACTTTATTTGTAATAGCCAAAACAAACAAAAACAAAGTTGCTCATAGGTCAGTGGTTAAACAAACTTCAGTGCATCCAAAACACAATACTACTCAACAATAAAAAGGAATTAACTAGTGATATATACAAAAGCTTACGAATCTCAAATGCATTAAACTTAAACAGAAGGAAGGAAATAATATACATATGACAGCATAAA